AATATATACACAGGAAGGTACTTCAAAAAGTTTGTGGAGTGACGGAATTAACAGGTTATCGTGCTGCAAAAAATTGTTGAAACCCACGTGTAGTTTTTTCATAATACATACTTTTCACATATTACAAAAACAAATACATATACGCCACTCTTTAGTCACACATGATGGCATATTACACAGTTTTGCGCCTCATTTTCTTCCCATCTCTTACCAACCAATTCATATTTATACACTAGATTCCCCCTATTCTTGTTAATGGTTGTATAAAATCTTGCCATATGAATTTATCCTAATTTATTTAATTAGTCCCCCACTATGGGACTTTTAAGTCATTCTAATCTTTCCCAACCACAAAGAATACTACCTTGAATATTCTTCAATATCTCATTGACCCTATAATTTATCTCTAAGATAAAACCCTGGCAGCCCAATTGCCAAACTGCTATGCTTCATCCATTTTTGACATTAATACTTAGTTTCAAATTTCCCGTCCCTGAGGCTTAACAGCAGGGCGCCCAGTCCCGCCACAGTGTCCCGGGCAACCTGTAACGTCTGCCAAGCGACACGAAAAAATATTGAGCCCCGTCAAGGTAACTGGAGGATAATCTTTGAGAGGCTTGACGGTAACACGAGTGCCGGGGAGGGAAATCCACCACCCAGGGGCATGAGCCCGGCTGAGAAAAGAACGTGTGAATGGAGGGAGTGGTCTTTACAGAATCCAGAGGAAGGCAGCCGCACGGCCAGAGCTGGGCAGGATTTCTCTCTCGCTCTCCAAGCGAGAGGCACCAGGGAAGCACATTGAACCAGCTTCTCCAGGTCTGGATGGAGTTTCCTTCAACCGCACTCCCCTAGTCCTGGGTTTTGCACACCAAGCAATCCACGAACACAGCTGCTCCTCTCTCCCCCGAGGTACCTGGGTCCTTGGAAAGGTGTGTGGCAGACTGAAGACAGCTACAGAGAGCTTTGAAAGCCTCCCATGAAGAGGTCCGAGCCTTCTGCAGAGCCTCAGTGGCCCTTGAAACTACTTTGGTGAGAGGAAGGCCATGGACAGGATGCTGTGTCACTTTTCAGGTCCAGGCCTTAAGAAACTGGCAACATCGGCCGGCGCCGCAGCTCACTAGGCTAATCCTCCGCCTAGCGGCGCCGGCACACCGGGTTCTAGTCCCGGTCGGGGTGCCGGATTCTGTCCCGGTTGCCCCTCTTCCAGGCCAGCTCTCTGCTGTGGCCCCAGAGTGCAGTGGAGGATGGCCCAAGTGCTTGGGCCCTGCACCCCATGGGAGACCAGGAGAAGCACCTGGCTCCTGCCATCGGATCAGCGCGGTGCACCGGCCGCAGCGCACTGGCCGCGGCGGCCATTGGAGGGTGAACCAACGGAAAAGGAAGACCTTTCTCTCTGTCTCTCTCTCACTGTCCACTCTACCTGTAAAAAAAAAAAAAAAAGAAAAAAGAAAAAAAAAAGAAACTGGCAACTTTTACCTGTCTTACAACACAACCTGGGGGGAGCCAGCACCATGAAGTCTCTCTGAAGACCACCATGCTGTAAGGACGCCCCAGCCAGCCATGTGGAAGGAGACAGAGATACTAGGCAAGCCCAGGCACTGAACATGCACATGAAGAAGCCACGTTGGCTAATCCAGCTCCAGCAGCCGTGGCACACCAGCCAAAAGACAGACCCGAAGCCCAGACATATTGGTCCACTTGAGCCGTCCCCGCTGTATTTGGCCATCTGAGCTGATACTTCATTCCATCCCACAATAAAGATAAACAGTTTCAAAAACACCTGCCCAAATGCCTAGCCCACACAGTCATGAGCAAACATGCCTGTTGTTTGAAGCGACCGGGCTCTGGCATGGTTTGTTAGCCAGCAACAGATAACTAGTAACAGAAGTTCCTGGAAGATGGACTACCATGTGCCGCAGGAGGGTTGGCCTGCTCACTCAATAAACACACGGGCACTCCAGACCACACATTCGTTTCTGTGGGTTTGATCGATGTGGAGTCAGTCCCAGTAGTCTGCCCACACTGCATGCGTGGACAAAATTTCGTTTCTGAACCTGAAATGCCAAGGACTGCAGGGTCTGGAGTCATCACCCTGCCCACCGCCCTCATCACCTCTCCTTCACTCTTTCTTATGTCAAACAACCCAGAGTGTCACAAAGAGGAGGACTGTCGGCGGCGCCCCCTGGGTGCACCAGATATACCTCCCTCGTACCGAAGACTGCGCCCAGTGCTGGGGCACAGAAGAAAGAAAGAGATAGGCCCTGGCCTCAGAGCCTTGCAACCCAGATTCTAAGCCACCTAAACAGGAGAATATAAGAAACAGGATACACGAAGTGACAAATATGAGCATGGAGCAGTGTGGGCACAGGAGGGCCCCAACCCAGGTGTCGACGATAAGAGCTACACCACTCACAGCATCCGCAGCTCTGAGAGACATAAAGTTAATATAAATTCCCATGCATATTTAACACGCCCACAGTTCATTTTCCCAGCACTCTTGACATTAAGAGATAGAAAGGCACCCTCATTTATGGAGTAGTGTGCATGCCCTAATTCCTGCCCAGCGCCCTTAAGTCCAACAGTGCTTCTGTAAGCTGCTCTAAGCAACTGGGTGTGCGATAATGCCATTTGTATCAACTGAGGGTGCAAGGGACACTGTGGCTGGCTAATTCCCCCATGGTTGGGTAGGAGGGGGAGCCAGGGCCTCAGCTGAGGAGAGTGTATCTGTCTCATACCACTGTTCTGATGGTTTCAGGGAGGGCAGTAACCCAGGCCAAGGCAGTCGACCAGCTTGTGCAAGACAGCAGCACCAACAGAACTGCAGAAAAATAGCTGTGACTTCATGAATCTTGCTGTGCTGTGGTTTGTCCTCCAATGGTTCTCCTGCGGTCTCCACTGTAATGGTATTGAAATGAGACCTGAGAGAGGTGGATCTTGGAGGGGGGAGTCTGGGTCACGAACACTAATGCTGGTCTCCCGGGACTGGATTAGTTCCCACAAGACCGGGGTGTTATACAAGAGTCTGGCCGCTCTCTGGTCTCTGCCTCCTCTCTTGCCACGGGACTTCTCTCTCTTGCACGCGCTCCTGCCACGTGAAGCCGCCCACCACATTGCGATCCAGCCAGAAGGCTCTCACCAGAGGCCAGCTCAGTGTGGCCACGGGGTCCCGGGCTTTCAACCTCCAAACCCGTGGGCTGATTGAAGCAGCCTCCGGCATGTTGTTACAGCCACACAAACGGACCGGAGCAACTGACACCTGACAGACAGGCAGCTAGCAGAGATTTTAGTTCTACAAGCCAATAAAACTGCTTTCCAGTGTGAGCCAGTTTGAGTGGCAACCAAATGCTGACTTTACAAAAGTGGGCCATCAGACCACACCCTTGTCCTCAGTAGGGCTGCTCCCCTGCTCTCCCAGGTGCACTGAGTCCTCAGCTGTGCGTAGCGAGCTCATGTGTTCATCCAGGGTCACACGACCCAGGATCTTTGGGATACAAAGGCTGAAACCAGAACTTGCCTCTAAAAGGCCACACATTCTTTTGCTTTCTGCTGCTTCCTCCTCCTCCTTAAGCCATCTGGAGCTTCTTGGGTAATGGCTACTCTAGAATTAATCTCAAGCCAATTCCACCCCCCTCCCAGGAAACCCTCAGTCCCCACAGATGGGGCATTCGCCTCTCGCCGTTCTAGAGGTTAAACCAAGCAGGGAGCGTGCACAGGACCCTGGTCTCCTGGCTCTGAGGAGGCCCATCTGGTCTACCTCTCAGACATGGTGTGACCTGTGAAACCCGAGTCCAACAGGGCAGATCGCAAGTGAGTGCAGCCTCACAGGGCAGGTACAGAGCTTGCAGCTCCTGATGTGGTCAAGTCCCCTCCATCCCCGACCCCAAACCCTCAAAGTCATTTTCTCTCTTAGGCTTAACTCCACCCTGGATGCCGCCACATCGGAGCCTTCATCACGTGCGACTCTCTGCACCTTTCCTGACCAACCCAGTCTCCGGGACATACCACAACCTGGACAGCGGTGCTCGGAGGCCACCTTCACCCTGGGCCTGCTCAGGAGCCTGTCACTGACCCTTAGAGGGACCAAGGCCATCCTCAAAGGCCTGCCCTGCCCCCAGTCCCTGCGGCTCCTCTTCCTTTTTGATTTCTTCCCAGCATGGACCCACAGGGCCCACAGGTGATTACCCACCCCTGTGCAAGGTCTGCCTCCTGCTGGCTGTGAGTCATTGACATCCCAATGCCCCCTGGGGGGTGCGTGTGAATCAAAGACCCTACCCAGCCTGAGAACAGCGTCTGCCCCAGAGCGCGCTCTCTGGGGTTAACTGTGTGTTGGCTTAGCGCCTTGTCCTCCATCTTCCCCCGAAGGAACACAGAAGCCCCATGCGGGCAGGGGCCTCACTGCACTGAATCCCAGCTTCAGTATTAACAGTCATTAGGACCCCACCTGATTCCCTCCGGTTCATTTCCTAAAATGTCTCCAGCTTAACCACACTGGCCGGGGCGGGTTCTCCAGTCTCCGTCGGTTGCCGTGGGCTCGCCCCTCATCCCTACCTCATCTCCGCGATCTACTACATAAGCCCCTCAGAATCTTCCCACTCTGAGGAGCAACATCTTTCTTCTTCTAAAGGGAAATTTACCTTGCAAATTGCTAAGAAGCCTCTGGAATCCTCCTAAAGTTAGCTGCTTTGGAAGAAGGCGGCGGTAGCCGATATTGGCACAAACTTCAACAGTCATTCCAGAACACCTGCGGGCCCATGCACCTGCTTCTGCCTCCAAGGCACCTCCCTCCTCCCACAACCTCTGTGCGCGGACGCCTTGCTGGTCTCCTGACTGGTAACACTTAGCATCCTGTTTATTTCCGCTCAAGCGAGATTTCCAAAGCACTGCGGACCAACCTCTCAGAAGAGCCAAGTTCTGGAATTCTCGCCCAGCGCCTCCAGCTCCTCGGTTGCGACGCCCGCCCCCAACCCCTGTCCCAGGCCGAGGTGCGCCCACTCTGTTACCTGGAGCTTGTGCAGGTGCAGCAAGTAGCCTTGCACGAACGCCTGATAGAAGAAACGCAGCTGCCCTAACCTCGGAAGCTCCTCCAGACTCCGCCGTCGCCGCCGGTCCCCAGGCCCGGCTCCGGGAGCCTGGGCGGCTTCGTCCGCGGGGAGGGCGGTGGGGATCGCGGCCTTGGCTCTGGCTCCTTGTGGGCAGAGGCCACAGCCGGCCACTCGCGGCCCCAGCAGCGCCCACCTCAGCCTCGCGCAGCCCAGCGCAGCCATGGATCCGAGTTCGTGCGGCCGCGCCTTCGAGTCGCGAGTGCGCAGCACCTGGGCCAGCCCGCCAGGCCGAGCCGAAGGGGCGGGCTCAGAGGCAGGGGTGCCGCGGGCAGGCGGAGCGGAGGCCGGCCAGGCCTCTCCCCGCCTCCTCTGCCCCGCGGTGCTCGCGCCCCTGCGAAGCGGGATCTCGCGAATGTGCTGCAGGGCCTGTCTCCAGCGCTGGGTGCCGGACCCGGAAAGTCCAGGGACGGACGCCCGGGAACCCCGCTCTGGGTCTGGGCTGCCGCGGCAGGGCAGTCCCGTTCTCCAGGCCCCGCAGGCTCCTCCCCGCGAGACCCGCCCCGCCTGGCCCGCGGATCCCGACCTCGGAGCGCCGTCGCCCCGGTGGCCCTCACTTCCTGGTGGGTCAGGAAGCGGCCGCGGAGGCTGAGCCGCCCGCCGGCTTTTCCAAAGGGTCTCCCGCAGTGATTTGAGTGCTGAGCGAGGAAGGAGTCTGAACAGCTCAGAGCCAAGGTCAGCTGATCCTTGAGAGGGCAGCCGAACAACTTCATCATTTTTTCATAATGCAATTCTCCTCCTGCACAACATCCCATCCACAAGTCTGCTAAGACAGGGTTTTCAAGCTACTGGCGAAGACCAGATTTAGTGGGTCGTGACCAGAATCGTTTTGCAATTTTTAAATGTTTACTTATTTGAAAGGCAGAGATCTCCAGTCCATTGGTTCATTCCCCAAATTCCACCAACAGTCAGGGCTGGGACAGGCAGAAAGGAACTCAGTGCTGGTCTCCCGTGTGAGTGGCAGGAACCCAAAGACTGAGTGCTCACCTGCTGCCTCCCAGGGTGCACATTCGCAGGAAGCTGCAATCAGGAACAAGAACCAGTACTCTGGCCAGCACTGTGGCGTAGTGGGTAAAGCCGCCACCTGCAGCGCCAGCATCCCATATGGGTGCCGGTTCAAGTCCTGGCTGCTCTACTTCTGACCCAGCTCTCTGCTATGGCCTGGGAAAGCAGTAGAAGATGGCCCAAGTCCTTGGGCCCCTGCCCCCACGTGGGAGACCTGGAAGAAGCTCCTGGCTTTGGATCAGCCAGCCATTGTGGCCCTTTAGGGAGTGAACCAGTGGATGGGAGATCCTTTCTCTCTCTCTCTCTCTCTGTGTGTCTGTCTGTCTGTCTGTCTGTCTGCCTCTTTGTAACTCTGCCTTTCAAATAAGTAACATAAATCTTTTTTAAAAAAATTAGAAAATGACTCGTACAAATTAACACAGGGTCAAGGATTATTCAACCTTGTGAGTGAAGGAAACAGCAGGGTGATAAAGCTGGTTCAAAGAGCATTTGAAGAATGGTTATCAGCGGGCAGCCATAGGGGAGAGGTGTGTCAAGTTCAAGTCAGACTGACAGCTCACAGGGCTAGGTGGGGTTTTTTTCATTTATCCTAACATTCAGTTTCTTGAACCTGTGACTGAGTGTCTTCTATCAGTTTGGTGAGTTTCCCCAGCCATTACCTATCCAAACATTGCTTCTCCTCTTTCTTCCTCTTCAAGGACTTCAAACTATATTAGGTCTTCTCACTGTAACCTTTCTGTCTTTTACATACCCTGTCTTTGGCATTTTCTGTTTGCCTCTTCTAGTTCATTAATTCTCCATTTCAGCTGTGTTCAATATGTTATGAAATCTATCCAATGAATTCTTGTTTTTATAAATATTTATTTATTTGAGACTGGCACTGTGGCGTAGCAGGTAAAGCCACTGCCTCAGTGCCAGCATCCCATATGGGCACCAGTTCAAGTCCCCGCTGCTCCACCTCCAATCCAGCTCCCTGCTAACTCGCCTGGGAAGGCAGTAGAAGATGGCCAAAGTGCTTGGGCCCCTGCACCCACATGGGAGGCCCAGAAGAAGCTCCTGGTTCCTAGCTTTGGATCAGCCCAGCTTCAGCATTTGCAGCCATTTGGGGAGTGAACTAGCAATTGAAAGATATTTCTGTGTGTGTGTGTCTATCTGTAACTCATCCTTTCAAATAAATAAATATTCTCTTAAAATTATTTATTTATGTGAAAAGCAGAGTTAGAGAGAGAGGAATACACACACACACACACACACACACACATAGAGAGAGAGAGAGAGAGCGAGAAAGATCTTCCACCTGCTGATTCATTCCCCAAATGACTGCAATGGCCAGGACTGGGCAAGGCCAAAGCCAAGAGCAAGGAGTTCTTCCAGGTCTCCCACCTGGGTACAGGGGCCCAAGCACTTGGACCATCTTCTGCTGCTTTCCCAGGCACATTAGCAGGGCGCCGGATCGGAAGTGGAGCAGCCGGGACTAGAACCAGTGCCCACATGGGCTGCCGGCAGCGGTTAACTCACTAAATCACAATGCCATCCCCTTAATTTCTTTCTTTTCAGATTTATTTATTTGAAAGAGAGAGAGGGAGAGAGAGAGAGAGATCTTCCATTCACTGGCTCACTTCCCAGTTGTCTGCAACAGCTGGGGCTAGGTAGGGCCAGGCTGAAGCCAGTAGTCAGGAACTCCATCTGGGTCTCCCAGGTGGGTGCAGGAACCCAAGCCCTTGAGCCACTATCCACTGCTTCCCAGATGCATTAGCAGGGAACTGGATCCGAGGCAGAGGAGCTGGGACTTTAATCCGCGCTTCCAGATGGGATGCTAGTGTCCGATGCAGCAGTCAATCTGCTGTGCCACACCTCTGCCCTGCCTAACTTCTAATTCTATTTTTCAGTTTTCAATTTGATGAGGTTTTATTCCAAAATCTATGTCCTTTTTCATAATTTCGACCTTTGTGTCCAGATTCTCAAATTTGCCTTCTATGCTCCCTTTCATTTCGTAAGCATGGTCTTAGGAGGGCACTGGACCGTTAGAACTCCAATAGCTGGAGCCTGTGAGGGACCCGGTCGGAACCGCCTGTTGTTGCCTGTTTCACTGTGGCCGCGTTTCTTCCTGCGCCTGCTTACCTTTGATCATGTGCCCGAGCGGCACCAGGCGTTCGCGAACTAGGATGCTCCCACTTTGCTCAGGGAGCTCTTTCCTTCCTGACAGTTCCCTGCGGCACCAGCAATCCTACAGCACCTTGGGACAGTCTCGGGCGGCAGATGCTTGAAGCCGAATGCCGTTCTGCCGTTCTTTGGGGGGCTAGCCCGTTTCCAGTCCCTAAGTTACCAGAAGAGGTATAGGTTTGCTGCCCCGTGTGCATAGAAGCCAATATTATGTCACCAGCTGTCGGGAGAAGACAGAGGCTTTAGTGCAGAAGTCGACTTGGCAAGGAGACGGGAGGCAAGGCTCCAATCCATCTCCCTGATCCGTGGATTGGGAAAGAGAAGCGACGACACAGACACGTCCACAGGGCAGCTTCTGCTGGATGAGGCCTGCACGGCTGCACCGCGAGTGGATCAGAACCAGGACAAGCCTGGTCAGTGGAGCTGCTCACCTTCACCACGCTGAGTTCCTAAGCTGTCTGCTGCTTCTGTTTCGGCTCAGTCTCTGACTCTGGTTCCGGGGGAGATCGGGATCGTGTCATCTGTAGGCCATGGGCCTCCTTTCTGCACTCGTGCAGCTCAGCTTGTCAGTCTTGATCTAGCTGAACATTTTTTAAAAGATTTAAAAGGCAGGGTTGCAGAGAGAGAGAGAGAGATAACCATCTGCTGGTTCACCTCCCAATTGGCTGCAATGGCCAGAGCTGGACCGATCCAAAGCCAAGAGCCAGGAGCCTCTTCCAGGTCTCCCACATGGGTGCAGGGGCCATCCTCTGCAGCTTTCCCAGGCACATTAACAGGAAGCTGGATTGGAAGTGGAGCAGCCAGGACACGAACCGGCACCCATATGGGATGCTGGCACTGCAGGCGGCGGCTTTACCGGCTATGGCACAGCACCGGCGCCAAAGTTCAAACTGATTTAAGTCAGCATGGTAATGACGCCTGTAAAAACAACTTAAATAGCAATTTAGTAACCTGCCACTGAAGAATGAGGCTTGGAGGTTTTGGGGGAAGGACCAGGAGACCAGGAGACACAGCAGGGGGCCTTTGAGTTTGGCGGTGTCAGGAAACCCGATTAAGTGCCAACAACCTGGTTTCATTTGACCCTTTTGGGTCCCAACCAAGGTCAGATCTGAGAGGTCACGGACTGCAGCTCTTCTTCCCCGACCCTGGGAGGCTCAACCACTCGGCTTCTCCACTTCCTCCCGCAAAAGGAAATCCCAGCAGTAGGAAAGGGGTCCCAGCTGCCTCGTTCACCCCCACGGTCTGTGCTCTGATGTTTGCCTGGTAATTCCTCACCGCCCTGTCTGTTCTCTGAGGCCCATGCAGACGAACGTTCTTTCTGTTTTCTTCAAGTGATCTCTACAGAGTTGATTCCAGCATTCGCAGCGTGGAACCCCAATTCCATGTGCTGTGCCGCAGTGCCTGCCCGGGGCAAGAAAAGTTGAAATCCACGCAGAAAGCAGTTGTCAGAAAGTGCGTGGAAAATGCACGGTAGGAATGAATTGAATTACATTTGCCCTGAAATTTTGAGTCCTCTCATTTTTCCATGAGTGTTTAACGAAGCTTTCTTATTTCCTAACATAGCCATTTAATGCTGTGTACTTCCACACGATGTTTTAACCGTATCCAACAAGATTCAATACACAGTTTCTCTAGTCATTCCTTTCCAAACTGCTTATAATTTTCATTTTGATTGCCTTTCTGATCTTAGAGTCCTGTGGAAAGGTGCTTTTATTTACAAGTAAATAAAAATATTATTTTCTTATTAATGTAAAATGCTATTACATTGTGGTGAGAGTGTATCTATTCTGGTTTTTAGAGTTATTAAAATGATTTGGATGGTCTAGTACTTGTTTATTTTTCTGAATGTTCCATGTGTATTTTTGAAAAATGTGTAGTCTCAATTTATTAATTTTGTTTTTCTAAAAATTTATTTATTTATTTATTTGAAAGGCAGAGTTACGGAGGCAGAGAGAGAGAGAGAGATCTTCCATCCACTGGTTCACTCTCCAAATAGCCGCAACAGCCA